TCGATGTCAGATCAAAAACTAAATAAGTCTAGTTAGGGGGAGGGGGCTCAAAGCCATTCAGTTTGCTATCTGACAAATTTAAACATTTCATTTTTTTGCAATTTTGACTCGAAATGCCTTGGAATGGTTTAAAAATAAAGATTTTACCTGATGTTTTCTTCATCAAGATCATACCAATGTATACTATTCTTTATTTAGTTGTTAAAAGCTGCAAATTACGCTAGGAATTAACAAAAACTAGATCATTTTAGAAATAATTTTTCTTCTAATTCTCAAACCGGAAGTCCGCAATCAACATTCATGGTATTTAGTTTTTTTAGGGTGTGTCAAACTCAGAACTAGATTTATTTCGTTTTCGACCCAACATCAAACTTTTGATGCCTCCCCTTACATACAATCATTCAAGTTAAAGTATCTTCAATGTAGGTTGAACACAGATTTGCTTCACAATGCATTATAAAATACATTCAATACATAACTAATTCAAAGAAAGTCAATGAATTATTATGTAACCTATAGAATGCTAAATAAATTAAATGAAAAATACCTGTAGGTTGAGATGGTGTTTCTCCCACAGGAGTACCTGTAGGTCTCCCTGTTGTCTGGCATTGACAATTATCTATCTCCTGCCTAAGTTCAGCAAATTGTGCCTGCACACAAAGGTCCACCACATCGCAGTCCTGGCTGGCAACATTTATCACCAGTAAAATAAAAATGAAATTTCTCATCATTTTATTCATCATAACAAAGACAATCTCTTTACTCTTAGAGATTTTGCTTTTTCTAATTTCCAGGCTCTACTGGAGGGGTTTATATATATTTTAGACTGAGGAGGTGTATGAATACCAAGGTGTAATGCTACCTTCAGGAATATGAAGCTTTTCTGCATCTTCATAGAGTGTTCTTTAGAGATGCATCATGGTCTTGTGATCAGACCTCTTTTGTTCATTTGACTAATTTTTTTATCACACCCATTTTTTTAATCTGGTTATTATACCAATTATTTTCAAGTATCATTAAAACCTATACTGAAGTGTGAACTTGAAATTAAAGACATTTATATTATTCCCAAAAATGTGAAATTATGATTACTGTATATTGTGATATGTTTATTAGTTCTAATGACAGAAATATATGATAATTAGAAGCAGGGAATATATAACGCGGCAATTAATGTGCCAAAAATAGCGCTCTTTTTGTTTTAACTATCTGCTTACGTGACAGAATCATGGGTTAAGGAATGTTGTCACTTCAGGTTCCAGTCGACTCAGTCAAGGTAAAAGTCAGAAGATATTGATATATAGCAATGATCTCACCTTGATTAGCTACGAATAGAAGGCCACATTCAAGTCCATGTATAAGGTGACCATAGCTTGAACACTCATTCTGGTGTTCAAAGCATCTCTCTCCCTGTGTATCTCAGAAGGACAGAGATGGAGAAGGCGTGGCTCACCATGATACTCAACATCAAGGAATATTCTTCTATGGATGAAATTGAAAAAATTGAATTTGCAACTTACAATGGTTGGTTAAACATATTATTGTTAGTACCATTTCACCTACTTAAAACCCATTCACAGAATTGTGTGGATTTCTGTTTTCCATCATTTTCCAAAAGCTTTATTTTTAGGAAACGGGCCATTGAAATAGGACTCGACTTATTTTTAAAGGGCTCAAAAAAAAGTTTTAGATTTTCAATTCTTTTCAAATTTGTCCTCTATCAAGTTCAAGGTCTGTCTCTATGAATTATCCAATTCGTTGAACCACTCTGACTATAAAATGCAAGTTTCCATTAATTCTTATGTATTTTTTCATGAAAAAGTACATAGGGCAACATTAGATATAAAAATAGGATTTATGTTATCTGTATGGCCCCTTTTTCAGAAGGACTTCCTTAACCGAGATAACATTAGAACTTATATACCTATATTATATAACATACACTTACTCTTTCACCAATTTGATTTTCAATTATGGGTATGACAACATTCCAAGATTAATGATGTAACAATACTCATTGATGTACAAGTGTATATATATTTGGACTTTTTAATTGTCATACAAATAGCATATCAGTCATCATTTGTTTGTTTTTTAAAACAGACATTACTTCTCCCATTTATGATTAATGCAGACTTTGAAGCTGCTATCTTGCATCAAGCACCACTGTTCTCCCTTCTCAACCCCCCTCACAGGGGGGGGTGATTGTTGTAAAACACAGAATTAACTTAAAGCTTGTTAAAACCATTCATTAAATTCAGTACTGTAGATTGGGTTAATTTGGCGCTACTTAATTTGGCGATTTTGCCATTTTTGGCATATTGGCGGCTATTTAATTTGGCGGATATGCAAAAAAATGTTAATGGAATGTTAAACTTACGCGCTGTTTGCGAATTACCATGTAAATGGGCATGTTTGGCTATGTTCATTTTTTCTTTTGAGGACCACTGGCGATATTCACCACGTTTGTACATTTTTGTTAGATCATCCTTTACATTTTACACCTCAATCAATGCTGCTACTTTTCCCTGAGTATAAATGAGTGACTGACCAGTTCTGAGCCAATTTATGAGAGACATTTTTTCATATTTTTGGAAAAAATAAACCGGAAGTGACCTAAATACACTGGACGAAATACCCTAGATGATTCCCGGGGATTCATTCTAAATTTTGGCGGAGATTTATATTGGCGAATTTTTCAATTTCGCCAAATTCGCCAAATTAAAGCGGGCGCCAAATTAACCCAATCTACAGTACTTGACTCCTTTACCTCTTAATGTTTGTAATTGATTGATTAATGAATTAAAAGTCTGACTGTGTTTTTGGGGTCTAATTAAAGAAGGCATTTGACCTCATAGAGCCTTGTGGTAGCTTAATACACATAGAAATGTATTAAATAAGAACATGTTCCAGATGGACTCAATGTGATTGGATTTTTTCTATTGTTCCGTACTTTGGTCATTTTGTGCTAGGTGGTCCTCATTTCAACGAAGAAGCATCCTTAGCAGGAATTTGTCTACATTCTTTAATTAGAAAAAATCTTTGGTCTAATGATTTTACTACATTTTCTGCCTATGAGTTCTAGCTGATGTTGTATATATTATACATTCAAACTTCAATTAAAGCCCTTGGAAGTTACAATTGAGATCTTTAAGAATAGCATCAATGCTGTAAAATCATTTACAAAGGTCAAGGTCAGTATGGCTTGCCAATATGGTAAGCTATGATATGCAATGTTTATAGAAAACAAATACTCTATAGGGAGGGGGATACTTAATGTAAATGCATTCATGTAAATCTTCATATCCAAATGTTTTGAATATTCTAGAATGTTGAGGCCTGATGAAAATAATTTGGCAATCAGAGAGATTAGCAGTTTCCAATAAACAGAAATACACCAAATTCCAAACTAGATTTACTTGAGGTTGGAATTTTCGATATAAGCAGATAATGAATTTTGGATAATTCATTGATTTTCGTTAATTCTTCTGCACAGTAACTGTGATAATATTGGTTATCTGATTTTCTCATTACATAAAGTGTCAAGTTGCTGTAACTTGTATATTTCATATTTTGGGATTTACATAGACATGTAAGTAGTTACAGTGAGCATATATTACTACTAATATACAATTATTTGTTCAGGTCAATTTCATTGTTCCAATTTTTTAAATGTGCCATCGCCATTGTGTGTTCTGATTCACCAGATCCCCCTTTTATATCTATTGCTTGCTTTGGACATGTAGGAAAGTGTATCATGATGATTGATGTCCAGTTTAAAACTTTTATACTAAATCATTTAAGTTAGACCCCCACTAGCTAAAAATGAGAGTCTGATAAATGGGAATGTGTTTCTAGCTTGTGGCAAGTTCTCAAATTTGAATTGGATTTGGTTTAGTCTTAGTTTGAGTCCTATTGCTCCTCCTCTCATACATTTCCTCTATTTGAAGTTGATAAAAGGAGAGGTCCAGAGGTTTCATGACATTTTGTATTGTTTCAGTTTTCACAAGGACACTCTTTATCATACCTAGATGAAATATTATGTTTTAAGTTTTTACTGGTATGGTATGATACAATAAATAAATGCACAATGCACCTGTAATATGCAGCTGCTCTGTTTACTGCTGTTTCCTCAGTCACATTTGCTCTACAGCGGCTCTACAGCGGCTCTGCAGCGGCCGTTAGCTTTACAAAATCGATATAGAAAATCTACATCGTACTGCTTATCCCTATATTTTATGCTGCATATTTCTCTTGATTTTAGGAAACTGTGGCCACTGTAGGATTGCCGAAGATGAAATGTGACTAAGGCATTAGTCTTGCACGAAGCCTCTGTTAAATAATAATGGATATAAGGGATGGTGTCCAATTACCAACAGTCTTGGAAAAACAAAGTTCAATTCATTATGGTTTGACCCCCCCCCCTCCCCTCATATAACGAATTTGAAAATGTTGATTTGTCTTTCACTTGAATATTAAAAAATCAGCATTATTTACTAACAAAACCATTATTTACCCCCTCCCCATAACAAAACTAACAACTGGTGATAATCGGACACCATCAGATGAAAAACAATTTTGTAAATTTTACGCCCCCATTCCCAGGTTTCAGTTTGACCTCTTTTTCTTCTTAATCCCTAGGAAAATGGGAGGAGGGAGGAGGCAAGGCTATTGCAAAACTATTGTATGAGTACAGCTCATCATAGTGAAGGATGCCAATGTGGATTATGTGTAATGCAAGTTAATATCTCACATTCCTCTACAGATCTGGGAACTCTAATTGATTTAATTGATAAACAAACTAACCCTATGGCTCCTTATCATCCATATCTTCACAAAGGAGGTTTCATCCCAGGTGTCTGCTGTTTGGTCACATGACTGGGTTTGACTTATCAAATGCTTGGTTGTCATAGTTGGGTAAAGATCCTAATGTGATGATGTTGTCAGTTTATAAAGTTGAAATAATTTTAAAACAAACATTTTCTTAATGCTGCTTTCAGGTCTAATAAAAGGCTCAACTCCAAGTGGTCAACGTAAAGTTCGCTCCCAAATCTACGAAAATGTCAATGTTGTGAGTGCTGTGAGGCGACAAAAACGAAAATCTGCTCCGAATATTGATGCATTACCAGAGCAGGATGAGAAAGATGCGGAATCAGTTTCCATAGCAACAAAAAATAAAGGGAATGTAGAAACTGAAGTACAGAAGAGGAAAACATTGATAGCTAGTAACCAAGGCAACCAGAAGGATCCAAGTCCAATGGATGAGAATGAAGAATGGGCAAAGGTTTGTGGGATACCTTTTTAAAAATCAACAATAGAGTAATTACTGTGTTTGTCTTTAATTTGGCAAGCGTTTTAAAAAATCACCAAATTAAAGACAAATATAGTATTAGCAAAAATGCTTTAATAATGTATCAAATGATTATATAAAGTCATCTATTTTAAGTCTCTCATGATAAAACCAAAGTTCTGAGGTTTATTTGAAAACTTGATAAGGGACACATTATTGTGTGAAATACTTCTGCATCAAGACCTTCTACTAGAAATTGGATGAGAAACCTTGATGCAAGACTCAAAAATAAGTATTGTTCTTTTCCCCATTTGCTGGAGTAACCACTACTTCATGGTTGCTGACTGACATACCATTAATAGTAACATGACTAATATATGCAAGAATTTAAGTATTTTTTCAACTTCAGAGATTTATTGCATGAATATATGCATTCTCAAATTGAAATTCTTCAACTTTCAAATTCTGTCAATTTTTGGAATGAATGGAGAAATAGGTGTATATCATTGCCATCTTTATAAGAAACATGAAGTTATTTTATGTTATAAACTATGATGTGCTACATATATTCATAATATAATTTTTGTTGTGAATCACAATCCTCCTAACACAGGCCTCCATATCTCAGACCTAAGGAAGGAACTTTATGGATGACGTCTGGAAGTTCTGGAACCCTGTGTTCGGATGATCGTGAATTACAAACAAATTGTCCTTGTTGGGTGGTGCAGATTCATATTGATGGCCTATAATATCCATGATCCTTTGTGTGTTAATCACTACTATTCCTGTGCCAAAAAGTGTATCATTTTTATGATTGTATTTCACTCTCAAATCATACACATCTTCTGTGGATAAAATGTCCTCTTGCTCACTTGATGAAAGTTGGTTTTTCCTGAGTAAGGTTATTATTATATGCTGTCTCCATGCCTCCAGCTTGCATGTCTTAACAACCATGTCAATTTGTGTTTGAATATCCTGCACAGTGGGAACTCCAGACGAGGACTTTGCCAATTTGTTTAGAATGTATATTACAAGTGGAAACACTGGCTCTGAATTATCATAAGATCCTCTTCGAAATATTTTTATTCCAGGACAATCTTTATTCATCAAGTCTTCAAGCCAATGGCCCCAAGATACAAGTTCTGTTGGACTGTCTGATTTTGAGACATATTGTAGCCTAGCAATACTGTGACACACATCATTGAAACATTTCCCAATTGATTGTTCTACTGCACTGCCGTCACATTCATTTTCAATATGGTACCGCACTAAAGTTGTCAAACTAAAGGAATTGAAAGCTCGTTGTTTGTCAAGTTTTGTTAAGATGTATTTTAGTGCCATAATTATGTATCTATGACAAGCATCCATGTTTGATATGTTTGGCGTACGATATATTGACACTATCCAATGTGTCAAGAAAGGTGGTGAAAGTAAAGCTATATAGAAGGTGTCCTGTGTCAAGGTTTCGCCTGGTACCTTTAGACAAAATCCCATGTCAATATCTGTAACACAAAGCGGTCCCCCAACTCTCAGTTGAATGGAAGGTCCATGTTCTTGTGAATGGAGATACACTTCATTGAATTTAGGACTCTCTTTTTCAAGCTTGCTGTCTAGAAGTACTAAACCTTTGTAAACCAATTCACCTTCAGCATGCAATTCTGATAGACACTTGTCCAGAGCTTGAAGTAAAATACACCTTACAAAAGTACGAGAATTCAGTGTATGGTCCCTGAATAGCTCCGAATCAAGATGTGTAAGTTTTGAGAACAGCTGAGTTATTTCAGTAAAAGTATCACCATAGATATTAACATCTAGAGCATAACTTCTATATGGTATTCGAGTAAACACAACATCTTTATTATTCTTTGACATATCCATTGGCAGTATATAATCATATTCACAAGGTGTATCAATTTTTGTACCTTGGTATGAACTTCCATTTGGCAGAATGTCTGACACAGCGAGAAGAGATGAAAGCATTGCCAACCTTTTACAAAGTGCCTTTACGATACGATTCCTAATATAGTGTTCATGATTGTCCAATTCTGCCTGACTGTATTTCAGTTTCGCCATATTGTGTATTTCTGTCACAAAATGAGACAGTTGATCTTGTTCAGCTTTTGTGGGTGTCTCCTTGACTAAAGGTGAAGTCTTTAAGGTCTCATGGAAGTTAACAGGAAATGACAAAACAAAAAATGACAAAGCCATGCTGGATTTTGAAAAATTTTTAAACCAAAATAACAGAGTTCTGTTTGGACTTCCAGTCAGTTTAACTAGTTCCACATATCATTTACATGACTGGGAACACAATTGAAATGGTCAGAATGACCATAAACATGATAAAATAACCTTTTCAGCCCTCTGAAAATGTGACTGAAAAATAGCTAAAAGTAGGTGCTCAGGAAAGGTCAATCGACAGAATCTTTTGATTTTTTCAGAAAATGTGTCCAATATATTGCTCTAAATGACACAATCTTTGAAATTTTAAAAAATTGCCTGAAACAATAATGGCTGTAGTAAAAAGGAAAATATATCGATTTTCAATTCAGTTTTTTTAAATTTTTTCTTTTTCTAAGAATGATATCAAATTTTTTTAAATTGTATCATTTAGAGCAATATATTGGGCACATTTTCTGAAAAAGTCAAAAGATTCTGTTTGGTGACCTTTCCTGAGCACCGACTCTTAGCTATTTTTTAGTCATATTTTCAGAGGGCTGAAAAGGTTATTCTATCATGTTTATGGTCATTCTGACCATTTCAATTGTGTTCCCGGTCATGTAAATGATATGTGGAACTAGTTAAACTGACTGGAGGTCCAAACAGAACTCTGTTATCTTGGTTCAAAAAATTTTCAAAATCCAGCATGGCTTTTTCATTTTTTGTTTTGTCATTTCCTGTTAACTTCCATGAGACCTTAATATCCCATGCATGAATTGTTCTCTCATTGTCATGAAAGGTCCATTTTGACTCATTTTCCTGTATCACATTTCTAAGTGTATCGACTAGTGTCTACGTAGTGTCCTAAACGCATCCTTAAACTACCAGGTTTATCATGAACTTTGTATCCATCTAGTACATGTCACATGTTCACAATAACATTTGTACCAATATTGATTTTCCAGTTTTACCACAGGTCCACATCTGATTGGTTAATCCTGCTGTATACAGTACATGTAGTGTGATCAAAAATACCAATTCATTCATGCCTATATACCACAAAGAAAGTGTTACTAATCCTAATCTTTATAAAGATAGGTTTTGGCTAATCTAATAGTCTATAGCCTGGCAGTGAGCCAACCTGTCCATGTGTACTAGGTGGACATTGAATATTATTATTTCATGAATATTTATTTATAATTTATCATTGAAATAATATATATAACTTTGTTCACTAGATAGAATTATTTTCTAGGTCTGGTAGTTATTAGTCTATTGCTTTGAACTTTATCAGCTGCATTCATATCAGTTAACAGTAGAGGTGTAACTCCCGAGTCAGTAACACGAGTACAGCTCGTCATAGCTGCCTATACATTGGCTCGAGTTGTCCTCTAGAAACTCGCAATCTATTTCAACTCGCGAGCTAGCTATAACTCGAGTCAACTCGCGAGTTTCGCCTATCTTGCAAGCATGTAAAATGAATTCGGGTCCCAGAGATCGTGCAACATTACTTCATTAGTGGAATAAATATACCAATGATCGCCATATTTAGCGCCTGTCACCTAAAAACACTCTCAAAGCTTCACAAAGTTCAACAAATATCGTGGAATGAAGAGTTACACCAAAAAATCAGAAAAAGATCGACTATCGAAGGAACTCAACGGGCGATAATAGAGTAGTCACTAAAATTGAATAAAAATGGTCCCCTTATTCTCACGTCGCTTACACGACTTTTACATAAAAAAGATGATCTATCATTAAATTAAGATCATAAGTCTTAACTTTGGATCGATAACCAGCAGTCTTTAGTATAAATAATGAAGATAATCCGGGAAAACCATTCATTAATTTGGGGGGCCCTTCTGGGTTTTCTAAAATATTGCTTGGTTAGATTCTAGCGATCTCTCGTCCTTACCGTATGTGGTGACGTCTATACCAGATCGTTTTTGATTGAAATATGAGATAACTGCAATGAATACCACACTTTCTTATGGCCCCAACGTGTTAAACACCTTTTAGATGAGACTAAACCAGAGAAACTTGCTGCTTGAAGTTACAGTAATTTTTTATACCCGGGTTTACAATATGTACTGGACGAAATGAATGAACTCGAGTTTTACTCGAGTTTTGGAAATATTTGGCAAGTTGAACTCGAGTTGGATTTTTCTGGCGAGTTACACCTCTAGTTAACAGGTTAATGTGTAACCAAGTTCAAAGTTCAGATATTGTTAGGAGAGAAAGGGAACAGTGCAGTGATGCCATCTATTCATGATATATGAACCAAATATGGGTTTGAAATGAAAATACAGGGAAAGGATTGGTAGTGATATGGTTAACTAAATTCAATGTTGTTTTTCTCTTATTTTTCTCTTAAACCAATTATTGAAAAAATCTGTAAAAAACACAATCTGTATTTACCGATTGACAATAATTTAGTGTAAATTTTTTTATATATATATTTTTTATAATTGTTTTAGTAAACAGTTTTTGTTTTTCAGTGCAATTGTTTTTTGTTCTTTTTCTTCCGATTCTTGAGAATGAAATAAAATATCAATCCGTGCCTTTCTGGAACAAAGTGGTGTGTATATGCACAGCGTAATTCGATCTCACAATATTGTAGAGATACAAAGGAAAGTTTGGTTCATTAAAAAAGTATCTGAAACAGATAAAATAAATATCCCCAAAGTAGATTAAATTAAACTATACCTTTATAATAAGGTAATTATTTGAAATGATTAAATCTTTCCTTTGTATAAATGATGATGTGTATGTTTTTCAGAATTTTTGATGACTGGTTTAAGAGAAAAATGTGTTCACTTAAGTTCATCATATCGCTACCAATCCTTTGGAAGGTTATAGGCCACATATTGCTGGTCTCCTTTAACAAGCCACTTAGTGTTTAACATTGTTTTGTTTACCACTTTCAAAAGTAAAACTTTGCTTTATTTGCATTTTATAGATTGAGAACATAATGGCGTCCTTTGGTGGCGGAATCGCTCGGGAATCTGTTTTCATGAGAGAACTGGAGGAAGATTTCACTAAGCTGATAGCAGGTTGGTCATGAGTGGTTAAAATATTAGTCACCAAAATAACAATTTATATTGGCAATGATTTATTCCAAAGATATTTGTAATTTATAGTGGCACAGACAATCAAATAGATAAACAATCAACAAAAAATCATGATACTTAGTGGTATTGTTACTTTATAAATATAAATCACATGTCAAAAATATGAATGAGTTCAACATCTTAAACATGAACTATTGAAAAAAGGAATTCATTTACGGTATAAAATTGATAAAAAAAGCTTGACTTTATATCTGCTATGTTTATTGTATTGTAGGTGTTAAGAAGATCCAGTCAGTTGGCGATTGGTTAGATGATATCTCAATGGGGCAGTATGAAAACCTGCTAGTGGCAAACGGCTTTGATGACATGGACTTTCTAGTAAGTGGGGACTTTATCATCTTGAGGTCAAAGTTCAGAGAATATTTTTATTCAGTTAAACCTTTCTATTGGAACAGAAACTCTAACCCTACTATCACACCAAACTAGTTCTCACTACATTCCTGAAAACAGGCTTCAACTGTGTACGAACGGACTGGATGTACTTAGAACCGTTTGGGGTCTATTTACAAACTTCATCGAACGTACTCGAACGGGTAGGACCTTTAGAACTTAGAACATGCTCAAAATGTTCTCGTGGTCATCATTGTGGACTGTTTATGAACGAAGTAGCTAATTATTTAGACATATATCCCGACCACAGCCCGTTTTATGGTTGAGAACTAGTTTGGTGTGATAGGGGGTAAGGGTAGGGGTAAGTTAGGAACACCTTTCTTCTTGGAAATATCATTGAGTTACAACATTAATTATCTCTATCTGTTAGGAGCACAATGAACACATATCTACAAGGACCTCTTCCCCCAGCAGAGGGTATTTCATATACACAGGTTTCATTGTATTGAGCCATTATTTCAGTTAGTGTACATGTTATTTATAATAGGATATCCAAAAGTCAAAAATAGGCCTGTACTACAAAAGTTGCATCTTCAAAGGTTTTACTTGTATATATGTTAGATATATTACAAATAATTTTTAGTTTGAATATTGCTTGTCTGTTCCAGAATCCTAATGTGTTGGAATATTGTGACTTGGTTGACATTGGGATCTCTAATGAGGAACATCGTAAACAGATTCTCTCTGCTGCAAGTGATCTACCAAACCTCAAACAGATAGGTAAAAGAACTACGTTTTTATTGCACTTTTAAAAGGGGCTATATCATTGTCATTTTGTGCTGCTGGATGTCTGTATGGGGGACAGGTGGATGCCACATAAATTGAGTCATCAAAATTCCAGGAGATGCAAGAGTAGACGAGTACCAAGATCTGATTAGGTTTTGGGCATGCTGGGTAAATTACATAGTGTCCATTTTGCTCTTTGAATTGATATTTTTATCACAGAATGTTACAGTCTTGTTATGTATTTTATAATATTGCATCAACCTAAATACATGAAAATTTAACACAGATGAGCCATAAAATAATAAAACCGGATCAACTCACTAAACTGTAAGCCATCTATTCATTATTTGGGTTTATTTATTCAGATAAGGACAATTTGCCTAGCTCAGTGGAGGAGTGGTTAGATTCTCTGAGGCTGTCAGAGTACTGGGAAACATTCAGAAACATAGGATTTGACACCATGGAGAAAGTTAGGAAGTTATGGGAGATCCAGCTTACTACAGTAAGTATAGAAAATAGCTATGGCAACTGGAAAGTGAAAAGGGAAACATTTAAAAAAAGAACAATGCAAACCCATGTAAATTATGTAATCTGTATTAAAGAAACATCAAATGCTAGTTGTTTCATGTGTGATCCTAATATTGGGAAAAACATTTATGAATCTCATGAAGTGTCTAGAGTAAGTTTAGTCAACCAGGCCTATATATGTTTCAGCAAGCCAAAGATGTTCAAATGAAGTTCTTAATTGTACAATAATGCTCATCATTATTCTTTGATTCCAATGCTTAGAAATATACTAAGTAAAGCTGAGTGTTTTCTTTAAATATAAAATGCTATAAATTCTGTGATTCCAGGTTTTAGACATCACCATGAAGGGCCACCAAAAAAGAATTTTAGCCTCTCTTGGTGATCGACCTGAAGAGCCATTGGTTGATAGATTAGAAAGTGTGGTTGATATAACAAGTGTGGTAAATATAGTTTTTTTTGTATCAATTGTGATAGGAAATGTTTATGTTCAGTAAAACTGTATTGCTGAACAATTCTCTCTTGTGAATGCCTGGCCTCCTTTTCAAACATTGTACACACTCAAAAACTGTGTGTTTTTCAAAATTTTCCTTGCAGATTTTACTGTATTGTTTAATATTATGTAGAATTTCCTCTGTAGAATTATCAGTAGGGTTTATTGTAGTTATCTGTTGTAAAATGGACTTGTTGGCCTTTTGCAGATTATTAACAGTATGTAAACTCTTAATTTCAGAATTGGAAATCTCCTGATCCATCATCGAGTCATGCTGATATCGACCTCTTCAAGTATACAGAGATTAAATCTAGTATATCAAATGACACAGAGGTCAAAGGTCAAACTCAAGGTCAACAATGTGAAATTTTGAAGTTTGACAATGATGATCAAGATGATGATTCTGTGTTTGAGGTGAGGACATAGGAATACACTACTGTTTAAAACTGACAAAATGAAATCTAAAATCTTCTTTTATGACATGTTAAATTTTCACCTTACTCATATGAAACTGTTTCACCCATGATTTCTCCTCCAGATTTCTAAATAATTCTTAAAGAAAGAGTCTCCCCTTTATTCTAGGGTAATGTAGGGTAAAGGAGTATAATGAAATGCAACACATCAGTCCCCCACACTTGACACTATTTCACCCACAATTATCCCTTCAGATTTCCATCTCCCTCATTTTACACTATTTCACCCACAATTATCCCTTCAGATTTCCATCTCCCTTATTTTACACTATTTCACCCACAATTATCCCTTCAGATTTCCATCTCCCTTATTTTACACTATTTCACCCACAATTATCCCTTCAGATTTCCATCTCCCTCATTTTACTCTATTTCACCATAATTATCCCTTCAGATTTCCATGTCCCTTATTTTACACTATTTCACCCACAATTATCCTTTCAGATTTCCATCTCACTCATTTAACACTATTTTACCCACTATTCACCCTCAGATTTCTACATGATTCCCCATAGAATGTTTTCCTTCATTGTAGAGTAAAGGAGTTCATGATGACATGCTACATATCCGTCCCCCACACTTGGCACATGAGAAGAGTCCAGTAAAGCAATGGAGACACAGACCAGAGGTGCTCATTAAGGGATGCTGTAACTACACTTCCCAGGTAAGTGAATGTACACCATGTTGAGGTGGCTAGAGTGGAATTAGTACCATATTAAGGTGGCTCAAGTGGAATGAGGGAATTTATACCATGTTAAGGTGGCTAGAGTGGAATGAGTGCATTTTTTGACTTATGTATGCCGGAGGTCATCTACCATACAATCTGTTTAGTTTACTTTTAATGAAAACACATGAAACTGAATAAAGTCTATATTTTTCATTTTGGTATAACTGTTTATTTGATATTGACTTGTTCTTGTAATCATATAAGCATTTTAATAAACTCTTCATGCATGAAACTATCACATAATTTCAACATAATCATGTTATATATAGGGTAACCATGTATAGAAGATATCCTATGACTTTTGAGGGATATAATTTTTATCCACAAATGTTAAGATATCTGTATGAGTGACTCTAGCAAAATAATGCAGATTTCAATATCCATGAGTGGATAAAATCATTTTGTGAGTATAATATATATACATACCATATGTACACATTTATATATGTTTTCTTACAGTACCTTGGGTCTACATTGGTGAAGGAACTTAAAGGGATAGAGTCCACAAAGTCTTCCATTGAGAAAATGAAGGTAAGAGAGTGTTAATTGAGAGAGAGTATAAAGGGCAAAAACGACAAAACAATTGTTTGGAAGCAATGTCCCTTATACATGTACGTATAAGGCCATTCATCAGTCTATTAGTGAAGAACCAAGACTGTTTCAATCCTGCATTCACACTTTTTATGTCCCCACCACATAGTGTGGGGCCATATTGTCGGCCTAGGCGCGTCCGTCCGTCCGTACGTCCGGGAGTTTTCTCCAAAACCGCTACAGATATCACCTTCAAATTTTCAGGGATAACTTATGAGTGCCTATAGATGTGGCAGGGTTCGTACACACCTGGAAATGTCAGGGAAATTGATTTATTTTTCCAGGTGCTGGAAATGTCGGGGAATTTTAAAATTGGGTCAAAAAGGGCCAAAAATGTCAGGGAATTTTGAAACAGTATATGTGTCAGGGAAATGTCAGGGAATTTTGTATGTTTGTTGAAAAAATAATGTTACAGCAAAATACATTTTAAGGCTATGACACTATCAATGAAATCCAAAATCAAATGTTAAGTTGTTTCCACTAATTGTAAATCTTTTCATTAGGATTGATTGAATGACATTAAATCTGGTTTTGTCAATTTGTAAGAACAGTGTGAACATTATACTGAAACCGAATAAAGAATATGTATAGATGGTTCAATACAATTATGCTTTCCATGTAGTAAGTTAGTCTTAGGCCATTCAAAGTTAATTACTACTATATGTTTCATGGTTTGTTGAGGGGTTAATCTGAGGAGGGCAGGAGGTGAAAAAAAATAATAATCCAGGAACTCTTTACAGTTTAAAATTGTATTTATATAAAGAAGCTGTCTGTTCGACAGTCCGGTCGTATTCAGTCTATGCCATTTTGAAGTCAAATGCTAAAATCCTTGTCTGCAAACTTTAAGAAAAATGGCTTCACAGTTGCTTTTAAAACTTTAACATCTTGTTCAGCTCACTTCATTGTACATCTGATTAGGTTTTGGACCTGTTAGCTCAGTCATGTCAGCCATTTTGAATGTCTTAAGAAAAGTTAGCGCGGGATAATACTTTGTATCATATTGAATGGTGTTTTTGAGTTTTAATACTTTAACTATTTAGTAGCTTTATAAATAATTTCAGATGTACTTTGTTGTAAAAGCCTATGTTATTGTTAACAGTAGCTATATGTGATAATTTTGTAAAAAGAAATCAGCAAAAACTCATAAGGACTTTTTTATTGTCGGCCATTTTGGATTTTTGGGTCCTAAAATCTTGTCTGTGAAGTCTTGTCTGCGTGTTTTCAGGGATGATTCTTAGTATGAAAATCTAGATCTTAATAGTTTTTTGGCATTCTGAATAAATGTCAAGGCAGCCATTTTGGATTTTCCGTCTTAAAATCTTGCCTGTAAAGTCTTGTCTACGCATTTTTAGGTGAACCGTTTAGTAGATAAATTTCAAATTTTCAGGGATGATTCTTAGTATGAAAATCTACATCTGATTAGTTTTTTATTTGCATTCTGGGTAAATGTCAAGGCAGTCATTTTGGATTTTCCATCCTGAAATCTTGTCTGTAAAGTCTTGTTTACATGTTTTCTGGTTAACTGTGTGACGGATCAATTTCAAATTTTCAGGGGTGGTTCTTAGTATGAAAATCTAGAACTGACTAAATTTTTGGCATTCTTGGTAAATTTTAAGATGGCCATTTTGGATTTTCCGTCCTCAAATTGTGTTGGTAAAGTCTTGTCTACTCATTTTCAGGATAACCATTTGACGGGATCACCCATTGGTTGGGACATTTTGTACACATTTGTGTTCTTGTTTGTTTATATGTTAGGACTGATTACTTCCATTACTAATATCAAGTTCCAAGGATGCACCATTGATAATCAAAAGCAATATGATGTAGCTCTTAGCACTCAGAACCATTTCACTGGATTTGCACCTGTAACCTGTTATTTTGCAATAACAATGTGTTTTGAGCATATTGGTCAGCAGGCACTACGTATATGAGGGACAACTTTATAAGTATTACCTGATGCATACAGTTCCAACTGTTTAAAATCTAGATACGTGTATGCTCAGCACTTTCTTTGATACATATAAGTTACCACTTCCTGTTTTCACGTGTGCGCATCCCACAGTGACAACTGCTCCCTCTAGGTCCTGACGCGATATGACCTTGGCACACCCCTTCATAGACTGGATGTTGCGATGCAAACGACACCTCAGACATACTACGCATAGATATACATTGCATTGGTGCAGTTTGTCAGCTCTTGACCTCTTTGTAGGCATTATAGAGCTCTATGCAAGCCTTCCCTCTAGCTCCAAGCTCCTTGCTTAGCTCTTTGCCTGTAGTGAGAAACACAGTACAGTAAAACAGATGTAAATAGTATGTGTTTACATTTTAAGAGATGTTCAGCTGTAGATTTCAGAGGGTAGGTCACAGGTTACCTTAACTTTTAACTCATATTGTTTAAGTGGTTTAAAATAACCTTTGCTAACCAAGCACAAAAGAAAGTTATTTTAACATTCATAAAATTTTTGGGAAAAAGATGCTTGCTCGATCTGCCTTTGATGTTGTTCTTTGTATAGTCCTACCTAGTAATGCCTTTAGCTCTATCTCCAGAGTAAAGTACTGATAGGGAAATTTTTTCCCTGGTCCGTGGTTGTATTTAAACCATTCACTCAGGGACACATATGCATAATCTATCTCCATCTTCAGGCCAAATGCTACCATTAACTTTTCACCAAAGTACTTTGAACTATCTTGACCCACAACTGTCGGATGTTCACCAAAATAAGCCTTGACCTTTGTAGTGACCTCTGCCATTGTTGGGGCATCATCTAGATCAGATTGCTTTATTCCCGTGTAAGGCTCAATGGTTGAAATTACGGGATGATCAGGTTTGATAAATGTCTCATAGATGGTGCTGTTATCTTCCCCGATTATTGATATATATGCTGGTGATCTGTCTCCGCATTTCTTTCCTGTTGCCACACTTTGTAGGTCAATACTGAAGATATTCATGGTTTTTTCGGGGATTAGTTGTTGCATTCTCTTCTTTGCTTTCCATATATTTAGTAGATTTAGCAACACCCTTTTCCTGGCCAATTTCTCCCTGACTTGATGTACAAATATCTTGCTTCTTTTATAACTTTTCCAACCCTGAGAATCTTATCTACATGCATATTCTCAAATAAGAAAAGGAAGTAAATATAAATGAGATCCTTGAAGTTATTATTGGTTTCATTTCTACGAAGTTTTGATGTAGTATTATCATCATATTATAGATGGCATTAAAATCTTTTTTTTTGTTTACCTTTGTGTGTACTGAGGAATACAAGGCGTTGTGTTGAATACTTTCAGAAAGGGTTGTACCATTTATGTGTTTGCTCTGTTTGCTCTGTTTTGTCTTCTCCTTTTGGCACTTACATGCATAAAACTCCAATTTTATTAGTACTTGAGGATCAGAGATTCTTAGAAGTGAAACTCTATTTTTTGGTTTCACTTCTACAATGTTATTTGATTTAAAACATCATATAGATGTCGTTGTGTCCATTTGCAACACTTTCATTGATCAGAGTACTCGATTTTTTAAAGATGTCAGCCTAGTCAAATATACTGGAATGATATACCAACTTCAAGATATTGAATCAAAAAACAACTTTCAAAAATGTTACTACATGTAGCGTTTTTAGACAACTTATCACTATTTTTTAATGAGACAGTATTATATGTGTGAGATATTGTCACACCATGAAACATCAAAATGGCAAGAATAGCATTATGGCTTTGAACTTGATTATGCTTCATATTGATATTTGGAAGTTTTATTTACTGTTACATTCTACTTCCTGGGTTCTAGCTTGTTTTAAAATAGGGGAAAATTGAAGCATAGAGAAAAGTATATGCATGCACTGTACACGAACGTAACTCTTCACTGATTGGAAGGTGCTTCCACCTTTTGGTCAGAATTATAGCAGAAATTTCTATGGTCACATATCCATGTATCTGGGTTTCTGACACTGTTTTTAATCAAATTAAAGAAACCTGATTTGAATGCTGTACAGATTGCTTCAGATTCTGTGCTTACATTAGAAGCGCTGTAATATTTAAGGTTGTACTTCTTCTGGGTATTTTCAAGATGTTGTCAGTAGAGAAAGTTCTATTACTCACTCAGAGACACAACTTACAGACACAACTTAGCTAGGGGGAGGGCTGTGCATAATTTTTATGAAATCATATTTTAATGGGTATCACCAAAATGGTAATTTGAAAAGGCTGATTAGAAACAGAAATTATTTCTTATTTTGATTTTTGATATCAAAAGCTTAAAAGCTGTTTTTTTGAAGAATTTTTTCAAAACTTTTTTTGATTAAAGTAAGTTCATACCCCCATTCTATCTCTTGGAACAATTACATGTATCCCCATTTATAGTGATTATCGGTGAAATGATAAATATATAGGGGTTATGCACTGGGAGGTTTTGGATACAGGGAATATCCCGAGGGATATACAATATATCTTCCCAAGGGACCGAGGGAAGATGTATTGTATATCCCAAGGGATATTCCATGTATCCAAACCGACCGTGCATAACTGGTGTATCTCATACTTGAGTGGGTTTAGGGTAGATATAACCTTTTCCACCTTTTCAAATGACAAGATATTTATATTTAACAGTTTCATAATATTATTTTTGTTCAATACAATGAAATTGTAACATTTAAACTTAAAAAAATTAAATTTTAAAATTAAAGAAATTAAAACTTTTGATATTTAAACTTTTTTAAACTTTTGAAAAATTCCCGGGAGCGGGATGGATATATTATATCTGCCCGCATTTGGCCTGGAGCGGGACATATACAATATATCCTGCCCACTCCTCAGATACGATATATATTCCCGGGTGATATCTACCCCAAACCCACTCAAGTATGAGATACACAGTCATACCTCCCCTAGGTATCAAAACTTCAATGTTTTAGTTTCAGAAAAAATAGTGAATTAACCTAACTCTAATTAATATGCAGACCAATCTTGAAAATATAAATACATTGCAATATTTAAAAAACATTATAATTATTGGTCCGCACCTATAAATTTATTAGATTCAAAAAAACAACCAATATAGTATTTTTATTTTTTGATCCAATACCTTAAATAACTTGACTTTCATAATCTTCCCAATAAATTCATTTTCCTAATGGAGGGGCGATTAATTACAGTGTGGATTGCTCCAAATTAAATTAAGTGCTTAATATAAATCTTGATATTTATCCTCTGATGATGTTACCTAGGATACGTTAATGTTGTTTAGATAGATTAATGCAATCATATTGTCACAGCCGTTCTCATTTCTAGTGATAAATCGTCTGTTTTTGTCGAGCCTAATGTGTTGTCAGAAAGAAAAACTTCAGATATTAATGTTCGTTCTGTCTGTCTGTACAAACGTATGTAATGACTATGTTAAATTTGCCTCTGATAATTTTTTTTATACTCATGGATATTCAAGGTTTGATTAAAAGAGTTTGCCATTTCGTGTTTTACCTTAGCCAAATGATTTTTTCATCATGATTGCATTTTTCACCATTTTTCAATTTGTATGAATGGAAGTAAACTGTTAAAACAAAGAAATATGCTGTGGTCTGTTTCGATATTAAGTAAATCTCTCGAGTTGATCTAATTTCCTCCCAATATCTAAAAACCTCTAAATCCAATGCTTCTAGTACCTCTCCCCTTCTCTATTACATTGTATGTTTGCAAAACTGTTTTCAATTGGTTCATTTTAGCAGAGTGAGCAACATTGAATTGTATTATGATTATTGTATACATGTAGATATTTTTATGAGATGTTTATGTATTCCATATAAGTATAAACTACTGTAGTGATTGATTTAGAAGATGAGAGTAGTCTGAGAGACATAATTAATATGCATTTAAATCTCCAACCTAACCTGAAGAACATTAACTAAGAATTTGAAAATATTGTAACACAAACATTGTTTTGCTAGAAAAATATGATAGACACATTTTCGTTACAGATCATCATTTATCATGATATACCTGGTAAATACGATTTCTCTTAATGACGGAATAATATCAAATCATTTGAAGGTTGTCATGATTGTAGTCTTGTTTGAATCACTCACTTTCTTTAATCACGTAATGGAATTTTAATGAGGCTGACAGACCTTTACCACCCTTTCATATTCAATCATAATACTCGCTGGTCAATTTTTTCGATTGAGTTTGTTATCGAAATATTCCATTGCACTCTAGTTAATAAATTAAGACTGCAAGAAATCTCAATGAAATTGCATTTTACACCAGTGTGATTTTGGTCACTGATGTGCATAACAATTTAACGTCTCATTTTCTGATGAATTTTCAGTGTATTGCACAGTGTTCAAAATATAGACGATTCATTCATAAATTTATGAAATTGTGGAATAGTTCAAAGAATTTTTGCGGGTGCTTCTAGCCAAAATATTGCGATCTGGCTGTTTGTTGTAAAACATACTCTTTTATTGTTATTTTTTACTGGATCAAAGGGAGTGAGTTAACATGTAAGGTTGCTTTGTTATTTGTATTCATTAGCATTTTTATCGCACTCAAAAAAGGGTATGATAGTGTTGTCGGCTTGCCAGGTGGGTGGCAACTTTTCACTTTTCTTGTCTGCATTTTCAGACAAATCACTCGTTGGATTAAATAGTGAAATATTCAGGAAAGTTTTTCTGTATGAAAATCCAGAATTGGTTGTTTTGGGCATGTAGGTACAATATTGGTCACTGTGTGCTTTGTATCATGCCTTCTGGTTGTCTTGGCGACTTAGTATCTCTCTGGATAGATAAAATATTTGAATGTTTTGGAATGAGAATGTCATTGAACAAATATCAAGTTTGTCTGAAGTCATTACATAGTGCTATAGTACTATTTCTATATTCCTGTAATATGCAACATTTCAGATTGGTCGATAAGAGGTATCAAATAGGTTTGATTCTGTATCATTCTTTTATTCTATTCTATATCTAACACCTTTGTCATCTTTATCCTTTATAATCTGAAATTCAAGGATAAGTACTTCATCAGTTTCTTATATTTAGTTTGTAGGATATTTGCACTTTATTTGTCTTAGTCAATACCGGATATTTTATTTGCCATAAACAGGTAGAAAATCATCGTGAGGTTTATCAATTTACACATGGATTCTATTTTATCTAAATTCGTGGAAGGCATAATCGTGTGGAAAACTCAATCACACAGTCATTTCCTGTGTTTGCGCATTTGTTTCTCCATGTCCAAGAGTAACATTAACCTGTCTAATTAAGTGGGGTGGTCACATCATTTCTGCCCTTTAAATAGTTCTATTCCATTCTGTTTCCTTATCTATTCCTCAGCTTAACTAAAAAGATTATGACATCAGTCCCATCCTCTTTCAAAATATTTTGTTATTTCCTCAAGTAAGATTGCATTTTATAATATTAAGCGTTTTAAGGTATCTTCAACATTTTGTTAGGATTGAAAAATTGACTTCACTTCATTGCGGACATGTAAATTGATTTTGGAGACATTTGAAAGATATTGGTATCAGAAGCTTGCCTGATTAAGTACCACATAGTTATAATCAATTTGTAGGTTTGAAAACTTTGTGTCTATTTATCATCCAGCGCCCTTTAGTGCTCAGGTATTTTCAACTTGTGAAATTCATAATCCAATCATAATATTATTTTTTTAAAGTTTTATGTTTTGGTAATTATTTGATTGACCCACTGGACATATTTTTATTTATCTTCATTTTGGTAATACATTAGCACCTTGAAGAGTAAAAAAATATTCTGACACAGGTCAAGCATTTTACATTTTCGTCCCTTATTACAGTTTAGCATGGAAATGCTTCACTTTGTTATTACAAAAGTGAAGTATTTGAATCTTTATACTTCATTGCATGTTGTAACAGAAGAGTAAAAAATAATTTCTGAAAACCACTTAGGAAATAATTATCTATTTTGTCTTATGTTTTTCACTTCAGTAACTTATTGTTTTTGAGGTGTTTGACTTGGTGAGGATGCTCAGCGGCATGGTCTCCTTGGTTACAAACCCACTAGAAAAGTCAACACAGATGTATATTGGTTATACAGCTGAATGGATCCTTCAGAATTGTTCATATTCCTTATAAAATTATAAAATAACTAAGTTATTTTGTGAAATGGACTCATTGTCTATGAAAACTTTTTTTTGCTTTCTTTCATTTCTATAAAAACCCTGCATTTTATTTCAAGGTTTTCGCACAAGAGTGATACTGCTCAATTTTGCATGAAATCAAGTGAAATAATATAATAAAACAATCGTATTAAGTATCATTGGATAAAACCATCAAAGAAAATCAAAATCCTTTCGCAGTTAATCCATAGCTGAAGTTTAAAAATGCCTGAATTTTTAATTATGATTTGTGACATAAGTGTGTAACTGATTGGAGTCAAATGGCTGGAACTCTCGTTGATTAAACAGTTGTTTAAAATGCAAAACTAAATGAAGCTCAAAACTCAATGATGAAACAAAGTGGTATTTATCGTTGAGTCCAATCGAGCACAAATTATACGGAATAAGGACGAATTTTACGGAATTTTCTACGGTTTCATTAGCATTAAAAATGAGAAAGCGAAATGTTAAGACATTTCAATGATAAATTAAATGGCATTTTTATCGCTTGATTATTGCTTATGACATTTAAACTAACTGTATTATTGATGATGATTGGCAATATCTAATAATGATGGATGTTTATGAGCCAAGAGGAGCAGCTTTACTATCCTCTTTGAAAATGCCTTTGAACATTTTTTCTCAAAATGTATGTTTTGTAAAATGAAGAATAAAAGTAAGTGTAATTCAAAATCTACATTTGGGCATAAAAATGTTATTATATTATGAAATAAGAAATGGGCTTTTTACTCACTCACTTACTCACTCACTCACTCACTCACACACACTCATTTAACACTAACCTACCCACTCACTCACTTACTCACTCGTTTTTAGTCATATATACATATAGAATTTTTGATATCTACCCTGGATCATTACATATACCCTATATCTAATCCCTGTCAGTGTATAACTCATGATAGAAATGTTGTATCTAAGAAGATTATCACACCTTTAGACTGGCCGTCTTCCTTAATGTTGGTTGATCTTCCTCATGATGACACATCCCCAGTGTAAAGATATCCTGGCGAAGCTGGGTAGCACCATGCCTTTTGTTTAACTTCTGACTGAGAGAATTAATTTACTGATCCAACGAGGATTACCCTTTTATGAAATGATGTTATTTTGCGAGAAATTCTCCAAACAACCAGTAGGCATCATTGAAATATTTATTGATGTGAAAAGTTCGCAGTCTGAATTTTGCGAAATTCCAGATATTTGGAAAAGTTATTGAGAAATTTTATGGAAAAGATGGAATATTGCTTGTCTGATGTGAAATAATTGTCGAGAGTTTGTGCCAATAAAGGCAGCCCAGTGGAAAACCTGATGATGAATGTTGGGTCTTGAACGAACCATCTCATTTCGTCTAATGGCTTCCATGTATGCAAAGCATACGCTTCATTACATCTCTACGATCATCCATTCCTAAATTATGCTCGATATTTCGCCTTATGGGTTATATAATTCACTTTAAAAGGCACGTATACAGAGATCTCCATTCACGAGTTCCGTCTTGTTGCTCGTTTGTCATTTTTACCCATCATCCCCTGGGAGAAATTCTCTTGAAGACGTTCGAGAATTCAAATCTTTAATGTCTGCTTAAGTAATTGTATTTTGAATGTGGCTTTCACTTAAAGGATACTATTTTGATTTGAATTTCTCTTGGGATTTCTGGGATGTTAATGTCAAGTTTTGTGTTCATGTATCCTACCCACAAGCAATTTTGTCATTCAGTGGGCAACCTTTATAAACAAAACAAAATTGTCAAAAGGGAGCTGAATGTAGATGTACATATTTATATAGAGATTACATGTGTTTTATATAACCATTATCTAGGAAAATATGTTTCAAAAGTAAAAATAATGCAGATTAAACTTATTTATGTTTTACTTTTATATTTGCAGAAGTCTACTGATACAATAGGAAAAGTTCCTACCATTATACTATCAATCTCATATAAAGGTGTCAAGTTCATTGATGCAAAGTCAAAGGTAAGTAACCCTCCCCCCTATTCCCCTAAACTCTTAACCAAGCATGGGATAATGTGGTATGTTAAGGTGGGATTGGTAGAATGAGTAATATAAAGTTCTACATACTGTTTTGTGCAAACAGGTTGAATCATCCCACCTTAATTTTCATAATAGATTGTATTATACAGTGCTTCCACCTATATTACCTAACAAAATTACCCTATTAAAATAAATTCATATTGTATCAGGAATATTATGAGAACTTTATTCATTTATGTCAAAGAACTACAATGTTTAAAATATAATTTTGTTATCTTCATTTCAGAAAGTAATATGCGAACATGAGATTGGGAACATATTCTGTGCTTGTCAAGATGGAACTAGTCTGAATTTCTTCGCATACATTACCAAAGACCTCCAAACGCACAAACACTACTGTCATGTCTTCAGTGTTAAAACTACAGTAAGTATTGAACTGAATGAATTGAATTGAATTGAATAAGATAGATGATATCAGCTGATATTGTTGGGACTGAGTTGGAGTATTTTCCCTGCTTAGGATATGGAGTCTGATAAACTCTTTTACAATCTCAAAATTAATTAATCACTGACATTGTGGGTCTCCATTTTGAAATGTGTTCTTGGATCCCACAAGCTCAGCTAAAATTCCCATTAATTCCCATAGTTTTCTTGTTAAGTTAATGTCTAAATGGGAAGGCCTTGAAAATCCATTCAATTATCTAAGGAGATAGTCGAATTGATGGGACATGTTCCATAGTTATTCCATTTAAAAGATTATCAAATGTATTTTTATGGTAACCAATATAATGTAGACTTTCACCATAGGAAGGGACACATGAGAGTATTACGTGTCAGTGTAATAGGGTATGTAATACAATTGAACAAGCAACATTCTCACTAGAAAATAGACCAATGTAGCGGACATTTTAAGTATTCTGGAATATTAAACATTATTTTACAATTATAATTACTCGCTGTTGAACATGAAATTGTAGTTATTTAAGCTTGAAAAGTACAAGCGTTCAAATAAAATAACATATTATGTTATTATTATGGAGCATTCTTTCAGATGCCATTGAGTGTTTTGGGGATTAAGTCAGTTTTGTAAATATCTTTTTAAATAAAAAAACATGTATATAGATTTAAGAAGATTAGCATAATCAGAATGGTAAGCAGTATGTGCTTCAATCTTAATCAAATCTTGTTTATTTTTCCCAAAATTCTCATAATTAACTTTTCCTATTTTCCCAGAGATGTTGTGATAGTGTTAAAGGCCTAAGCAGATTAAAGTAATGTGTCATGTTTTTTTAGATTTAGTGATTTGTGAAATATGTCTCGAGAATCAATGTTAAGTCGTTTATTAGCTATGTTAGTCATTATTTAGGACAACTTGTAGTATCTTAATAAAACATTGGATTAGAGAATTATATGTGCCCATTGAGTACCTCTCCAAGTAGAAAATCAGCGTAAATCTCCATTTCATACAGTGTAATGGATGAATCCGTCTGCCAGCCTCATTTTGGATTAACCATCCCAAAAATTTCAAATTTTTAATTAATTCTCTTTTCATATTAAGACCTTAGAGAATAACTTATTTTTTATTTAAATTTTTGATAAACTATTTAAATACTTTATTTTCTGTTTATATACACTTACTGGTTTTTCAAGCTTCTTCAATATTTTGAAAAAGGTATGAACATAAAGGGGCACATTGTTGTGTAGGATAATTATAAAGATTTGATACATTCTAAACCTCATAGTTTATTCACTGGAATTATGATTATATCGGAGCATCATATTTTAATCAACATTTTGATTGGTTATGTGGTTTTGTTCTCACATGCGGAACATTGCGACAGATCGAGTTGGTTTATCTATGTCCATTTATGGGTAAAATGTCCCCTTTCTAGTTTTCTATCATATCACATAATCAGTGTTTTCTTAGTCACAAACATTTCATTATTGCTTATAAATGAACAATATAGTTACATCAATTCATATCATAGAAAAAGATAAGATGTTTATTCAAATTGAAAATTTAAATAGTTTCAGGGTTAGTTTGGTTTTAGCCTGTATTCGAAGATGTAAGGTATATTATAATGAAAGTAATAGTTTTTACAAAACAGCACAAGTTTGGTTAACAATGCTCCTTGGTTTTAATTTCATTAAACATTCACAATCTATCATATCTCCATTGATTCAGATTTCTGCTTGGACGCAGCCATTTTCTTGCAGACGTAAAGTTAGGTATCACTTAAAATCTGAATTTTCTTCAAAATATTTGAAAGAAGTGTTCAATTTTGTCATATATCTATATAATTTTATGGCTGAACTAGATATTAGACTGATTATTTTCATACAATTTCATGTCAATTTCATGGTATTCCAAGAGAAAAGATGCTGCCATTATGATATGTTCATAAGGGAACCCATCATATCTTCATTGATGAAAATTTCTGCTTGGGCGCTGGTATGTTTATACTATAACACCTCATTTTCTGCTAGTTTGGTGCCGAATAATTAGAAGCATTGAAAAAGCTAGGAAGAAACTGTGGCTTTAGAATTTCACAGTGTATGGTTATCAATGATAACGTACAAAAGAACAGACATTCATACTGAACACTGTGCACAAACTGACAGGGTGTTAGTTAGGAGATCTTTTCACTTTCTATATCTCCTTTCACTTTCTTTACACTTTCAGCTTCTGTATGGAGCAATTTTGAACTTTCAGTGAATTGGGGATTTTAAATAATAGGGTTCCTTACAATGTTGTTGCTGCTATCATAAAATGGCAGATGTTGAGAAAACAAATTGTTTCACTTATTTTCATTAATATTTTTTCACAACAATTGGGTTGGAAGACTGATAGAGCTACCCAGAATATAATATAGTTATCAAATCAAATCAACAATGTTCCAAGTATTTACAATTATGAGATTTAATTTCTATTACCATATAAGATAAACTCTATCAAAATAAATCAAAAAAATAATAAATTTTATTTTTTATTTATACATCTACATAGGGATTTATTCATTTCATGTTATCGATATTGAGAAAGTGGAAGACTCCCTCCTGTGAGTATAAATTATAAAACAATGAATTATGTAGGTGATACCACAAATAAAATCTTTAAATCATTATTTCCTGTTTCTATACTGATCAATTGACATTGTGCCACATGTTTCCTCAAACAATCTTGAAAGAAAATCAAGTTTAATTTGGTTTGTGTAGCGTTGTTCTCCTGTGTCCTTTCAGAGATCTCGTATGACGCCAGTTCACAATCCATATTAATATATCATTATACACTAAACAGGCTTCTGTCCATATCGACAATTTATAAAAACTTAATTTCAATTTCTTCATTTTGAATTCAGTATTGTTTGAATGAATTGATCTTCAGGGTGGGGTATTGAGTTATTGTAGACTGGCATAGAAATAGATGTATCGTCACAGTGGTACCAACAAGCCCCAACATAGAGGTAAACAGTTGTCGGGTTTTGATTTGGCTAATTTGACACAAAAACCACTTTCTGACTTAAGTGCAAGCTGTTAGCGTAATCTTTTCAAACACAATTTATAGAAAATTGGACTTTATTTTATTGGAATTATGTTAGATGCTATTTTATTTAGAACAATTATAGAACTTCAAAACTATTTCTTTATTTATCTCCTTCATACGTAATTTTAAATGATTCCATATATCTTTCGATTCATCGACAAAGTTTAAATGTTTTAGATAATTGCACAACTGTTCTGAAAAAATATAATACACTCTATATGTAACTCCATGTTAAGTTGTATTTTCAATGCTTTTGCTCAAGATTATATGAAATATTGTGAAAAAATGTTGAAAACTCATTGTAAGGGAAGTGAACTATTCCACACTTTTGAGAGACTCTTATGGGTTGTAAAGGACTCTTGTCTACAATCTAGATACTCGAAATTTCATTCAGGATTGGCACTATTAAATATTTAGCATATAAACTGCAATAGAATGTAGTTTACTTTACTCATTATTCCAAAAACTTCGGTTAGTTTGTAAAATAACAATCGCAACGTCAAGTGCTTCTTGTGCCATTGAGCGCAGTTGAGGCACACATGTCTTATTTTCATGAACCACCACACGTTGGTGCGTATTTTGTCGATTTCCAGTGCGCTACATTGCCTCGTCAAGGACTCTTTAGTTATTAATGGCAGTTTAATCTGTGGACGCACTTGTATGGATTATTGATGGTACATTTTGAAGATTTGGGAATTAAGCATTTTCATATCGGATGAGGCTATTGTCATAAGCATCTATAACAGTTACAATATCTCTCTAAATATAAAGAAAGATTTGATACTGCTGGTGCTCTACCCACTTGTATTTATAGATTTTCTAAAACATATCTTCCAAACTGAACAGAGCTTAATAATTTTCTTCAAATTCACTTGTATTTTTTTCTACAATTACTAGTTCAAGAGCAGGTATTAATAAATCTGTTAACAAATTGTTTTAATCTAATTATCACAAGAGAACTTTTCAAGTTTTTGCATGTGTAAAATGATGACTTGTCAATGAAACTTGTTTTTTATGATGCCTTTACACATTTTTAGATTTTCCATCCATAGAATTAGTAATCCTTTAATCTAGCGTCAAGTAATAAAATTGCAATTAATGCTCCTATTTTGGTCATCATTTTTTTAATAGTCTATGAAACTAGAAGTCATTTGAATTAAATATGGCATTTCTGTTTTACGTTTTCATGTCACCAAGGAAATCTGGGCATCATTAACAGAAACGTTCATAAAGTCAAGAATCCCTAAGTCCATTGTTCCTTTACTATGATACAGCTAGCTGTATCTATGATTACAACTATTGATTTAAGTGATTCATTGATCAGTATCTGTAATAATTTTTGCACTTTTTTTAACTATTTGCTTTACTTACTAGGTGTGAACGTTTTGTTATTTTAATGCCTTGTTGTATGTTGTTTTAATAAGAGGAATCGTTTGATGTAAGATTATACACATTCAAGCCAGTAAATTCCTGTCTAAAATGAACATGAGCATTTTTTCAGAACCAAATTCTGAATGTTTCATGGCTCCAATGTTGTTAAAACCTCTAAATGTGAATACCTTTCAATGAGAACACCTCTAAATGTGAACACCTCTCAATGTGAACACCTCTCAACATTGACACATCTCAATGTTAGCTACTTTCATTTTAAACTCATATAATCACATCTGAATGTATCAACATGTCAGTGTGAACACCTGGTGAACACCTCTCAGCAGGAACACCTCTCAAAGTAAACACTATTATCTGGTCCCGGCAATGTTCAAATAAGACGGGTTTTGCTCTATATGGAAACAATTATTTTAACTGAATAACAGAGAAGTATTCAAGAGAGGTTCTCCCAACATTTAATCGGATCCCTCTCTTGTAATTACTAACCA